AGTTGAATGATAAAACTATCATTTTTAAATGATAAAATAATCATTCAAAATAATAACAAATTATTTTAATTGAATAATAAAAAGATTATTCTTAAATGATAAAATATCATTTAAGAATGATAATAAATTATTCTAATTGAATGCTAAAACATTATTTAAGAATGATAAAAAATTATTCTTGAATGATAAAATTATCATTTCAATTAAACGATAAAACTTTCATTCAAAAATGATAATTAATTATTTCAATTAAATGATAAAACATCATTTAAAAATAATAAAAAGATCGATAAAACTATTATTCAAAAATAATAAAATTATTATTCTAATTAAATGATAAATCATTATTCTAATTGAACAATAACCACAGTATAAATCTCTATAATAGAAACATTGCTATAGTAAAAATGGAATAAATTTAAAATGCAAAAAAATTTTATTATATATAAATTGAAAATTTAATCTATAAAATAAATATACTATAATCTGTGCTTTAAGAATCTTGGATTAGAATTTTAATATCTTTAATATTGATAAAGTTATATCAGGTTAAATTTATTTAAAAACTAAAATTGAAAAAAATATGTAATAATGAATTTATAAGAACAATTCTTTTAAAATATTATTGTAAATTAAATTTTACAAAAATATATTAGGATAGTAAAAAAATGCATAGAATATTACAATTATATATAGATTGAATTATAATAAATTATTTCTAAAGTATTAGATTAAATACCTTTAATTATAATTTAAAAATATGCACAAAATTTATAATGATATATGAATATTTATAGAAAAGGTATTACTAAAAAAGTGGCAGAGTTTGTAGCTAAAAAATATAAGTTTTATCATTATGTAGTGGATGCAATTTATAATAAAATAATAAAATAAAAAAAATAAATTATTTCATATGATTTTTAATTTTAGTTTCTAATTGGATATATATATTATATAATGATTACATAATTTACTAAATTGAAATTTTTTTTAATAAATTGATTCATTTTTATAAATATAAATCAATATTTTTATTTGATTAATATTTAATTAGTAGATTAAATTTTATTAATGTTTTTTTTAAGTTCTTATTATAGAGGCTTCGCACTGTATCATTTAGAATAAAAAATTACTATTCTAATTGAATGATAAATATCATTCAAGAATAATAAAAGCAATATTTAAGAATAATAAAACTATTGTTCAAGAATAATAAAATCGTTATTCAAGAATGATAAAACCATTATTCAAGAATGATAAAGTCATCATTATTAAATAATAAAACATCATTTAAGAATGAAAAAATTATTGTTCAAGAATGATAATGAATTATTCTAATTTAATGATAAAACATCATTCAAAATGATAAAATTATCATTTAAGAATGAAACTATCATTAAGAATAATAATTGGTTGACCTGAATTTTATTAGGTCAGATCAGATCAGATCAACCTGTTGATTTAACCTGATATTCTACTAACCTGACCTGGATTATCAAGTCAGAATAGATCAATCTGATCTGATTTAGAGCTTTATTTAATACTTTTTATTTATTTGATTGATCATAGTATTTTACAAATATATAAATAAAGAAACATAAAATTAAATTATTTTTCAAAAAAACAAGATAAAATGAAATCAAATTTAAGTTAATTGTAAAATATAATATAATAATGCAATGATAAAAGTGAGACACAAAATTAAAGTAAAAGAATAATCAAAAATAAATTAATAAAAATAAAAGATTTTTAAGAAAAAAAATATAGAACAAAATAATTAAAGCAAATAATACTTCATCAAATAATAAAGAAAAATATAATTAATTAAATTTCTATTTAACAAAAACCAAAAAATCAGAAATAAATTTGCAAAATTTTGTAACACAAGGACAAAAATAAAAAAATCGGTCAGTAAATAGGATATCTGCAAAGATGTAATACAAAAAATTGGGACTAAGTAATAATTTTCATGCTAAAGATATTTTTTGTAATATATGTAATAAAAATACAAATAAATGAAATAAAAAAATATTTTCAAAATAAAATTGATTGACAAAGATTAACAAAATCAATAAAAATAAATTTTATTTAAAATATGATGATTGAATTTAACATAACACAGGAAAGCTTAAATCACGAATTTATTTTAATGATAATATAGCGTAGCATATAGCTTTTGCAGCAATTATAGCTGTATCTGTAACTTATATAATTATATAACTGATATATAAACTTCAAATTCGATGTTCACGAGATATAGAGATTGCTAAAGATTAGAAATAATGAAGTATACCTTCCGTCAAATATAAGTGATCTGCAAAATGATCGGCAAAATGTGATAAAATTATGTCTCAGCCAACGTTCAATACCATTATTTTAAAATTTTATAAAGGAATAAGAAATTCAATAGATTGAATACCTTTAAAATACCTTTTTCAGGAATATCGCACCTTTGTCGGTATAGCTTGCGATTTCGATCTAACATAAATTCGAAATGACTATTTTCAGGGTTCAATTTGATAAGACGAGTCTGCAATTTTTAGCGAGACGAGCTTTTTATCTCAAAAACTTGTTTGGTGATTTTTTATATCTGCTAAAGGAAATGAGTAACCTCAATTGATTTTTTTTTAAAAAATTGGACGTTCGCACCTTATCAAAGAAATTCAATATTACATTTCAAACTAACAAAAAGAAAGCGTTGTTGGCCTTTTGAAGACGTATGGGATTGCAACAAATGTTTGAAGATTTGGTTTTGTATTAGATTTTAGGAACATTTTAATGGGAATTGAATACAAATCAATTTTCTGGTTAGATTAGTTTCTAAATTAGATTTTTACGTTCTTTATGTATTTGAAAAAATGATAAATTTAATTATTAATTTAAAATTCAATCGCGGACACGTACAAGTTTATATGTTGCTTCAAGTACTAAATAATAAATCCTGTTTATTTGAATTAAATAATAAAAAAAAATTTTTTTTTTTCGGCGACATATATATCTGTAATTGATTTTATAAGGAGTCGATCAGGTGCGTCTCCGTTTTTTTAGGGGATCGCATTGAACCCATAGCGATCGAATAACTGCTTAGGGTCATAATTAGAGACCCTTTACCAACTTTAAATTTTTTTTTGTATTTAAAATTCGATAAATTGATTTTCTTTTTTATATACCCAATCTAACCTAACGTACAATGCAATAAAACATTTTAACAAATCCTTTTCCGCTTTTTGTGGTTAATAAATTCGTTCTTCGGATCATTTACTCTGTAATCAAGAATTTCTTCTCACTTACAATAAACTCCGAGCAAAATTTAATTCATTATGTTACGGTTTTCATAAGATCCGGCCGAGGTGAATTTAAATTTATTTTTAGAATAGAATACCATGCCACAAAACAAATTTAAAAATAGCCATTGACAAATGAAAAAATTTTATATATAGTATTCCCTCATCTTTTTTTTTTTTTTACAAACGAACTTAAAAAAGCAAAGCACTAATAAATAATCATAATAATAACAAATTAAAAACAAATAATAATTTTCAAGAATGTCATCAATCCAAATCCACCTATGCCGTATAATTCTGGACAAGCGGAATTAAGAACATTAACCAATTAATTAAAAGAATACAATTAATTTCTTCATCAAGGCAGGAGATAATCGAGTGGATCCCAGAAAATCGATTGAAAATTCAAGATTTGGTACGATTTTGGAAAGATGGTATGTTGGGTATTGGAATTATAAGGAAATGTGTTGGGAAAGATGCGAAGAAAATTAATCGCTGCAGTTAATGTTTAAATACATCTAAAAGAATTTAATTGGATTTATTGAACCAGGTATATGACGAAACCTTTTTTTATTCTTTTTTTTTTTATAATCGGATGGAGAGTATTTTACGTATTGTGGATACTGTAATGTATCAGTTGTTAGTATGAAGAGAAGAAACAAAGAAAGAAGTATCCCGCATTAATGCAATTTTCCTTTTTTTATTTCACTAATATTTGCAAAATGCAAGTTTTTGATACAAATGAACTAAGTTAGGTACACTACCCTATCAAAAGTATCCGGTCAATCAATTTAAAAATTATATTTTATTATAATTTTTAATATTTAGTTGACTTTCAATACATGCTTCTATCTGACGTGACATGCTTTCAATTAAATTAATATAAGTTTAGGATGGAATTTTTCCATTCTTCTTGCAATGCTTTTTCAAGTTTCATATAAATCTTTTTGATACCCAATCATTTTCGAAATTTCCGTTTTAGTTCATGCCACAAATTTTCAATAGGATTAAGATCTGGAGAAGGCCAATCTGGAAGAATCTTAATCTTTTTCTGTATAATCCAATTTTTGACATCCTTTGCGGTATATGCTTCGATGACGCAGTAAGAAAAGTTAAAGATCATCACAACGCAAAATTGATCGTTTTTATTTTTATTGCCAAATTGTCAGAATCGGAGCATTTATTTTAGATAAAAATTTATATTAGATCTCGAAAAAATCAAAAAGAGCTTGACCGAATACTTTTGATAGAGTAGTGTATACGTATATTTCAAAATCATCCCAACGATATGCATTGCTTTAGAGCTTCAACAAAACAATAAAAATAAAAAAATAGATATAATTGCTTAAATATTTATTTAAAAATTGTTATTTAATGAAAATTTTCTACATATAAAATATGAAGAAATACAAAAAAATAAGAATATAAAAAATCTATAACGACACTTGATGGAGTGTCAAGTCTTTAATTTATCAATCGTTTAAATGAACAAAACATTTCGTTAATAAATTTAAAGATTAATGAATAATTTTCTGCTTAAGTAAAAATACAAAAAAAGAATAAAAAAAAATCTATAACGACACTTGATGGAGTGTCAAGTCTTTAATTTATCAAACGTCAAAATGAAGAAAACAAATTTCGTTAATAAATTTAAAGCATTTTATAACATATTCAATTTAGATAATTTCTTATGAAATTTCCTAAATTTCTGAGATTTTACTTAAAGTTAAGTAATTTATCGATCTTATTATTAACCTCTTCTATCTTACTACAAACCTTATCAACTTTGCTGTTCAATTCAACAATCTTATTATTAAGCTCAACACTAGTATCTTCTATCTTACTACAAGCTTGATCAACTTTGCTGTTCAATTCAATAACCTTATTATTAAGTTCGACACTAGTATCTTTTTCATTCTTCTGTTCGCTTTCATAATCATCATATAAGTTTTTATTCTCACGTTTTTTGACATTCTCATCCCAGTTTTCATGACTTTTTGATTTACCAATATAATAAATATATTTTGGTTCTGGTGGTGGAGGATAGAAATATATCTCATCCAATGCCTCATAATCCGAAATTGAATCTGCACGAAATCGTAATAAAGCAACACGACCTTTCTCAAAAGCATTAGAATACACACCCCTAATGAAAATTTAATCAATTTACTAATTATATTCTAAAATAAAACTTGAAGAAAATAAAAATTAAACCTACCCCATAAAAGCAATAAACATATTTTGTAAAATGGTTACTAAAAGAAAACTACCAAAGAAGGTAATAAACTTGACCGCCCAAAAATTCCATGAATCTTGTTGTGAAAATCCACCACTTAACCAACTATATGTTGAAAGAAATGAGGTAACGAAAGATTTAGCAGGGTTATCTTCGTTTCGATCAAAATCATTTTGAATTTTGAAGTTAGCATCACTCGTAAATAATGTGGATGATGATGAGTTTTCTTGAAGATTTGTAAAGTCAGGATATTGTAGCAATAATAAAAAACTATGTGCCAATCCTGCCATCACAAGAATCATAAAAGCAAGAAATATCCATATCTCTTTAATAATATTTAGCATAATGTAGATATATTTCGCTGGTTCTAAAAGAAATAAAATTTTTAAAAGTTAAACAATTATAAATTTTAAAGATCAATACATAATCAATTTTCCAATATTACCTGAAATTAACCGAAGATATAAAATCTATTTGATAAAAAAATGTAATAATTTTAATTTTTAATTTGAACATTTTTTTTTCATAAAAAATTACCGAGATACATACAAATTCAAACCACAGTAATAACATCGTAAAAGAAATCGCGATGGTTGTTCCTTGAGTTGTCACAACATTAGCAAATGCGTTTGTAGTATCAAATGAAGGAGTGACATAAACTGACATTACAACCACTGATACGACAATTGATACTAAATCAATACAATTAAAAAGTTTGAAGTAATATCTCCAATCATGATGTTGAAACTGTCTGTACTCTACAAATAATAAATAACATCCCAAATAATAGAAAAGGATAATAAGGAATAATAAAAAATTACGATATCCTTTTGCTTCAGAATGTGCCACATAAGTCCCACAAATTGCTGCAAAACAAGCCGCGAATAAAATATAAAAAACAAAAAGTCGAAGAAAATAATTTCTTGCTGGTTTCCATTTGTAATCAATTACAGCTTCCATTACAGGGTTATTAAAGATATCATCATTATTTTCTTTTCTAATTAGTTGTACAAATGGACTAAGTTGTGAAGATCTCTCTGCATCAGCTGAATGTTTAACAAGATAACCTCGAGGGATGAACAATAATTTAAAAAGTTTGATAATATGTTGGAGATGAGGGTGTAATTGAGAGGGTTTGTCGTTATTCTTTCCATGTATACTATTAACAGTAAAATTATGTAAAGGAACTGTTTTTACAATTGGAGAATAATTTTCATATTTCTTTGGAAGAAATTTTACGTAAAGTTTTGTTAATTCTAACTTCAAACCATCTCTAAAATCAAATTTCTGCCCACTTGTTGAAATAAGTTTTGAGATTGGATTAAATGCTGTGAACTTTTGTTTTACTTGTAAAATGATTTGAATATATTTAGGTGTGATATCTGTGTGTTCAATAATATTTGATATTTCTATACCTTCCATGCATTTTTTATAAAATAATTCGCTTACACAAGATTCTATTAAAAAGATTTATTTTTTATTAAAAAAAAAATAATAACAACTAGTTCAAAAATGATTTTAAAAAAATTAATGATACATACCTAAATTATATGTGTATAAGTCTGGTAATGCTTTTGAAATAGTAATTAACCATCCGTGATGTTCAGTTGCATTTTTCGAATAATATTCAAGTAAATAAGTTACAACCAAAATTCTACGGTTACGTTCAAGACCTATAAAGAAATATTCATTAATTAAAATCATTAAATATAAATACTCAAATAATGAATAACATTACCAGGTTCACACAATCCAATAGCTATTTGCAAATCACTTTTATTTGAATTATTTTTAGATTCAGTCCATCGTGTTATTCTTGGTATATGTAAATTTGTATGTTTTACTACATCATCACCAAATAAAATGTATTTAATAAGAGTATCTGAGCCACCAATTATAATGCTTGCCATAAGATTATAGTGAATATCTAGCATTTTCCAACTGTCAGGATATTTTCTAATAAATCTCAAAATCATGAGAGAAACATTATTCTTAATTTCTTCAAATACTATTATTATTAGAAAAAGTTAGCAATTATTTATTATTTTTATTGCTTTAAAACAGATGTATTAATATTAAAAATTAATAATTACCATGCTGGTTCTCATATCCAGCTAATTTATTTCTTTGATCATTTAAATATACAAGGCCATCACAAGCATGCCTCATTAAATCCTTATGACCAACAATATCTTTATCTGTCCATTTGAGGTCAGTATAATTATTATTTTTTTTTAATTTAAGAACAAAACCACTTTTATGAACAAATAACTCTACTATTTGTAATATTCCATTATCATTAATTTCATCGTCATATTCGTTCGTCCAAAAATATTCAAGAATAAAATTTTCTGTTTGCTTAATCTTACTCCATACTTGAACTGTGCATTTTCCAATATATAACTGTATCGATTCTCCTTGATCAAGATATATCCATTTCTTTTTATAATCATCAGTTATCCATGGTTCTCTATTACGTATAATAGGTAACGCTTTTTCTTTTGAAAGATCTTTATTGTCATATTCTAATATTTTATCTGTCTTTTCTTTTTTATGACCATCTTTATATAATTCTAATTCTGGTAGAGAACTTTGCTTTTCTTTTATCTTATTATCTATTTTAAATATATTATCATATATAGATAATATTCCACCAAGATTATCAATAAATACATATTTACCAGGAATCATTGCGCTATATAAAAAACTTTCTTTATCTTCTTCAACTTTGATATGTTTATCATAATCTTGAACTTCATTTGTATATAAATGCCAAATTGACATCACTGCCTCGTCCTTAGCTTGTTTAATTATCATTAATTTGTTATCATCCTTAAATTCGCAACCAATTATTTTGGTATCTTTTCCTAAATCTTTACGAATAATTTCCAGACCATTTTCTATTAAATAAAGAGCTATATTTCCATATCCAGAAGAAAAAGCAATCATTTGCTTATTTTTTGAAATAGCTAATACGGAATTGCTATATTTATTCGGATGATTTTTTTCTTCATATATATTAAATATTTGTTGTATTTGCATGGTTTTTAGATCATACAATTGCATAACTTGTATACCTTCAGTGTATTGCTCAATATGGAAATAATGATTAAAAATACAGTCATTAATTCGTAATAAACAAGATTTAGATTTGTATAAAGATTCTAATTCGTTCATAAGTTTTTTTGGATAATTAAATTGCTCAAAATTCTTTAATCTCTTATTATTGAGCGTACATTCAAGTCTATAGATTCCGCTTCCATTAAATATAAAGCATACAGGTTCATGTTTATTAAAATCATTTTTACCAGAATCAATTTTATTGGAATTTTTCTCATCAGAATCGTTTTTGCTAGAATATACTTCATCAGAATCGTTTTCATCATCCACAAAAGAAACAATTCCACCGATATTTTCCTGTTTATAAACTTTAATTCCCTCAGGTTCTAACTTTTCTAACTTTTCAATATTTAAAACAACCGTTTTTCCACGATTTTCAACTCTAATGTTGGTTTCAAATTTTGAACTTATATTTTGTTCATCCTTGTTAACTGTCATATCAGATTCAGTTACACATGATATTGCAACAAAGATGGTTTTTTGATTTTGATCCATATTCGATGTTGCTAACATCCATTTTACATTATGAGAAGATTTATAATTTCCAAAGAGACCTTCGTTAATTTTGCATCCCTCAACGTTTTTAATTTCATTATATTGAGTATATTTAATAATTTTAAGCTCCATTTCATCTGCATGCAAAATACGTTAAAATAAATTAACAGAAAGAAATGTAAAAATAATAATAATCATAAATTACCATGATTAAATATAACGAGATAATTTCCATCTGGACTAATAGAAATGTGCCAATTCGATTCTTTTATAGGATTTGCTGGGTTATGATAAAAAATATTTATTTATATTACTTCTTATTTAATGAATTACTTATAAATAATATCAATGATAGAATAGAAATCAACTTACAAACTATATCATTTCGAATATTTTAAAATGTAAATTTAGTCATTTTAAAAAATATACATAAATAAATATATGATATAATAAAAATCAAAAATAACTTACGCGCTATATTATATTGAATAATTTTTAACTTAAATTTATAGTTGTTATAAAATACTTAAATTTAATGGAACAACAATATAATAGAAATAACTTACATGAAGTATTATCCGTGACTAAATTCAAATTTAAATTTAGACGAGTTTTTTTAAATTTATTCACAAATGAAATTAAATATTCAATAGAAATAACTTACGCGCTGTAATATGTTCTAATGTTCAATAATTTTAAACTTAAATTAGTCGAAATTTAAAAATCACACACATTAATGGGATGTTACAGTGGAATGAATAACTTACGCTTTATAACCGGATCTTTGATTACAGTGAAAGATGCTGAAACTTTATGATTATACATTAATTGATGATACATAATTTTAATTTCAATTTAGTTTTCATAAATAAATCATGCAACAGAAAAAATTAACTATACTTTCTACATTTTTAATTGAAAATTTGTAATGTAAATTAGTCAAGTTTCATAAACAATAATTACAATAGAAATAACTTACTCTCCGTAGCTTTAGCTATATGATTATTAAATAATTTAAAATTTAAATTAGTCGAGATTTATAAATAACACGTTAATAAATGACACAGTAGAATAACTTACAACTTGTAGCTATATGATTATTAAGTAATTTTAAATTTAAATTAGTCGAGATTTATAAATCACACATTAATACTGTAGAT